AACCATAATAGGCCGATGGCCCAGGTGCCTTATGCGGCTGTCTAACAAGTGGGATTCCTGTAAATTGTCCGTTTTTTTTTAATCCTAAGTGTCCTTAGATTCCTATAGTGTCATCTCGGGAAAACAGGTCCACATAAATTAACTTGAAATGCTGTTAAATTTAGGTTCAACTGATGTGCATGCAAGGAAAAGCCGGAAGAGTGACCCTGACCATAGAAAGCTGTGGAGAGCTCTCTACGTAGGATATGGTAACCAGCTAGCTGAGAGGATGCTGCATCACAGTGGCTACCATACTGTTGGCTATAGGACCCAACTTGTACAGGTATGTAATCGTGTAATTTCTTTGTCAGATTTAGCTAATTGTAATGTTGAGCTACCCGAAAATTAAGGGAGATGAATAATCCTGAGCCATTATTGTACTTGTAACTTTATTTGGGTGTGGGTGTGGTGGGTGGTGTTTGTGTTTTGTACTCTCCTTTATTCTCAATGTAATGATACGGAACACTCCTGCATATTCGAGAAATTTATACTTATAAGATCAGCACCGCTCAAGGTGAAAATTTGCATGCTTTTTTGTCCCTTGTTTCTATTGGACTTAGGAGCCAAAGAAACTGCTGATAGCTACTTAAATTGTTTCTTGGTGTGCCACATCTTGACTACAAGCTGCTTGCTAGTGTGCCCTCTTTCAGAGTAGTTTAGATGTACTAAAACGTTAGGCATATCATATCTGAGCACACCCACAGTGCCACACTTAATCATATCTGAGCAAAGCTTGTGGTATAAATAACACAAATTAAGCTTTTAATCACATATTTAATCATCCTGTCAAACTTATTCATGACTCTTCACATTGTGTTGTTTGAGAATTTTGTTGAACTTCTTTTGCAGGTGTACTGGAAGGTGACGAGTATGGGAAGTTTCCAATGTACGTTATTTATCATGAGCTGATAAGTACAACTCTCGTCCATACATGAGAAATATCTGAGCTGTCGAGCGAGCCTGGGTTGAGCCTATATTAAAGAAGCTTGAGAAATTAGATGTAAACAGATTAAGGTATAGTGAGAAAGTTCTGAATTAAAAGCATTATTTCCAAACTGTGATCCAGCAAACCTGGTGGTAGCTAAAGTCAACCTTTGTTATCTCATTCCAGTGGTGGTTCGAGTGCACCGAAAGATTCTGAATAACTTCTAGAGAATAAGTGAGTAAACTCGTCGAAGAAAGACATGGATGTAAAACAATCTGAGGTGGACAGTAAAATCCAGGCAGCTCGAGAGCGCTACCTTGCACGAAAAGGTAAGAAATGACAAATGACACATTTTCCTGATCGCTCAACATCCTTCTGTCAGTTTGAAGCTTTTCTGCAGATCATACCGACGAATCCATTCATTCATGTTATGGTGGGCGGTGTATACTCCAACGAAGAACATTCATCATGTTCCAATGTGCACAAACAAGAGAAAATTCCTTTTTTGGACCGGAAGAAAACGTGCTTAACTATGACCCTGAATTTTTGGTTTGACAACTCTAACCTTTACCTTGGACCAAGTACTCTTGGCTGTCCAAGACAAAGCAGACGAATCAAATCTCCACAAGAGTATTTCTTATATGACACTTTCTTATATGACACTGGAAGTTTACAGGCTTTTCCACTGTGGGCTAGAATTTTTCCCTCTTCCTATATGATGATGCTGAGTGTATTATTAAGGTCTCATTTGGTAGAAGAAAAGACTGTTTTGCCCCTCTTGCCAAGCATGAGTCCCAGGCAACACCGCAATACAGACGTGTTTCGATCTCGAAGCTGCCCATCCAGACACAGGCAGGAGCACGAGTACCTAAGTACTGGAAAACGGTAGCCTGGCTCAGGCAAATGGATTTGCCTGCACTAATGGTCACTTAATAAAGTCAATAAGACAACAGGACGATTATCGTCCAGACGTCCAACCTGAGGACGTGTCTGGACACAACTCGGGGCCATCCGATTCCACGAAGAAGAGCCGTTCGATCTCAGCGCATAACAGAAAAAACGAGCGCACCTATTCCTCCCCCACGTAACGGAACAGAAGGAACGCGCTGCCAGCATCGAGAAGAAGGGGAGGGGGCGGTGCCCGCCTGCGCCTCTGGTTCGGATGCCTAGCTGGCGCCAAGAGAAGGTGGAGACACCGAGGTGAGGCAGCCGAAGGCGAGGAGGGAGTGAGATGCAACACCCAATTTACTTTTGAAACATCCAGATGCAACACTTGCAACATACGTCTCAAGACAGACGAAACACTTGAAACATGCATCTGAAACCCTTGCAAAAACACCTCAAAACCATTGTAAAACATACGCAACATGCAGATAAAACATTTGCATCATATGTGTGGAACATATGCAACATCCAAATAAACACACTTGCAACATACTTCTGAAAAACAGATGAAACATTAGCAACAGAAGCTTGTAACATCCCGATCTACTTTTGCAACATCCTTATGAAATATTTGCAACATACATATGAAACATCTGAAACATCCTTACGAAACATTTGCACGCTTGCAACATGCGTTTTCGCCCTTCTTCTTCCGTACAACGCAGCGCAAGCGGGGGATGGGCGGGCAGAGGGCAGCGCCGTCGCGGCCCCTTCTAGATGCGAGCAGAGGGGGCGGTGGGGAGAGGCCGCCGGCGAGCTTTGGCCGAGATGTGGGCTGCCACCGTCATAGGCGGGCGGAGGGGAAGGCTGGGACAAGCCGGCGATGGCGCAGGCTGCCGACGGGCTCTGGCCGGGCTAGTGCTGGGGGGAAGGGGCCGGGCGCAAGCGCAGGCAGCTGTCGGCGAGCTCTGGCTAAGCAGGGGTAGGAAGAAGGGGCCGGCGGTAGGCGCAGCGACCGGCGGCGGGCGGAGGCGCCGGGGGGGATGCGTGGGATGGAGGCGTCATGGGGAGTGGAACGAGCGGAAGGAGATTTTTCTTTTGTTTTTTTGGGAGCGCGCCCATTCGGAAGTCACGGACGGACATCCTTATGGTATCATTGTCGAAAAGACAATGCTTCCGTAGTAAATTCGGTTTGCCTTTATTTTTTTTCATGGAGACAGGAGTGCTATATACGCCCCGTTCGCTGGTCTGAAACTTGGCTGAAAACACTGTTCCGGCTGAATTGTTGTGAGAGAGAAACATTGTTGACTGGTTTGATGAACAGTGCAATGGGAGGGAAACCAGCCGGCTGAACTTTTCAGTTCACACCAGCGAACTGAGCGATACAGTGTAAAAAATACATATAAATATTGGATATGGAAATCAAGGTACGGCATAGCATTGATCAAATAAAGGCAAAAGGGGTAACATATTTATAATTCTTCCAAAAAAACATATTTATAAATATTTTATTTCCCTCACGTTCTACTTTGTCACATCTTTGGATTATACTACCATCAAATTGAGGGAAATCAAGGGTCCAACACGTACGGGCTTGAGCAGCTAATCCGTTCTGGGTCACTGTACCGCGGGTTGTTGTGCTGCCTTTATTTGCCTTTGTCCAGCTCCATGCTCACGCGCGTAGCAATCATAGGGCCGTGGTTGCGACAGTATAGATGTACTGTCGTAATGTATTTTTGGTGGCTGTTTACCTGTAATGCGCGGATGGCCAATGCATGGCCTAGAGCAGCTTGGTTGGAGATTTGGAGGAGGGATCCTGGTATTGGTAGTGATCCGATGGTCAGGCGATGCTGTCGACGCCTTGTGCGGCCATGCCGATCTCAGAAAAAGGGAGTTATGAGAGAGGTAAGTGGAAAACTATATTTTTTTAAAGAACAATTTGGTAAATTGACTCCATATGTTTTCTATTGAAAAAAACCCCACTCCAAAAACTTCTTATCCTAATCCCCAATATTCGCATTTGAAAAATAAAAAAAGACATCCGCGCATGGACAACCTATACTTCTTGGACCTGTTTGGTATATCTTATAACCAACCCAAAACTAGAAAACGCGTTTTTTTTGCATTTTTTCTTTGCCAGGCTTCTCCCCACAACACTCATTTGTTAAATGTAGAAAATGTGATAAATTAGCTTATTTTGACCACACTATTCTTTCCTTGGAGCTTCTCAAGGAAGCACTTTTTTGGACTGCTCTACCAAATAGTGCCCTTATTAGTGTTGGCCCCCTGGTGGCATTTTTTTTCTTGGTGCTCCCTGTTGCCCTCGATGGCCGCCTCTGCCTCTGCCTTAAGATTCATTGGAATTGCAGTTTTGAACACTACTTTTTAGATTTGAGAATATTAGAAGATAGAGTCGGCAATATATATTCTATTTTGGAGGTTCTGGGTGTGAGTTACGGTGTCGGGATGTCCGACCATGACTTGTCTGCTGCCACCTACGAGGTTCGCTAAAATTAGATCTCCAACCATTATTTTCAGCTCTGAGAATGCTAGGAAGTAGATCAGGCAATAAAGGTTTTAAGGGTTAGCTCATATTAGGGATGGGCAATCACGGTGGCGAGTTATTTCGTCCATCGTATGGACTGTGTTTTTTTTTTGTACCAATAGCTAAGATGTCAAAACCAGATTATTGGGACTTAATTTCTAGATAATTATTAGTGATGATCTTAAAAGAAACGATACCAGTCGGTTGGAGACTTGCCACATTATTAATACAGCTATTCAGTGACGATCTTAATATGGTGCGGATATATATTGGAAATTTAAATTCTATATGATAATGATAAAAAACAGTCATAAACAATGTCACTTTTGTGTAAACAATTCCTGGTAAATGGGATCTTCCATTTTCATTTTCAGGAATCAATTCAGTCTGAATTGGTTCATCTAGAAAGTTGTTAGTTGATTTATTTTTGGGCCTCAGGCTATGACCTTATGATCTCGAGCGCGGCCCAGTTCTGGCCTTCTATGGCCCACGGCTAGGTAGCCTGGCGTTTTCCTTCGGTCCTTCCTTTCCGTTAACGGCCGCAAGCAGAGCAGACAGGAGGCGCCGACCGCCGCGAGCCCAGCGTCGGAGATCTCCTCCGCAGCCATGGAGACGCTGGCCAGCGCCATGCGGCGCGAGAACCGCCGGTCCAAGGCCCCGTCCTCCTCCTCCGTCGCCACCGCCCTCGCCTCGGGCAGGGTCCCTCTCGTCATGGCCTTCCTCTCCTGCCTCGCCTGGCTCTACGTCGCCGGCCGGTACGTCCCCCCTACCTGCTCAGATCCCAGACACTCCGGTCCAGCACCCGATAGGGAGTCGTGATCTTATTCCTGGCTCCGTCTCAGGTTGTGGCAGGACGCGCAGACCCGGGCGATCCTGTCAGGATTCCTCGAGAAGAGCTCTGGCAGCGTGCGAATCTCTCCTCGCCTCCTCACTCCGCCTACTCGCATTTTTAATTCTACCTCTTGATTCAGCCTGACGGCGCCACCTGATTGCAGGTCCCGAAGGTGCTCTCGGTGGAGGACAAGCTTAGGAACCTCGGATGCAAGTGAGTTTTCAGTTCTTTGTAAGTGAATTTGGGTTGTTGTGTTACTTTTCTGCTCTGCTGATTCGAAGTGCCGTGGTGGCAGGGCGATTGGAAGCAAAATTGTTGAGGCGGAGATGGACCTGACCAAGGCCAAGAGCGAGGGGTACCTGTGGGGGAACAGGACTGCAGCTGTGGACTCTGACAAGAAGAAGCAGCTTCTTGCCGTCATTGGAGTTTACACTGGGTTTGGATCCCGTCTCAAGAGGAACGTCTTCCGTGGCTCCTGGATGCCCAGAGGTTTGCTGCTCTTGTTCTTTAAATTTCGCTAGTTCCTAGCGAGCGAAAGAAATAATTTCCCTTGACAACACCAAGTAGTGGAAGAGACTGCTTGTGATACAAAACTTTACTAATTTGAGAGTGGTTGATGAAGAGACGGCAAAATTATTTGATTTAAAATGCTGGATAAATATGGAGTAGCTAAATTGTTTTGTGTAAACAAGGATTTTCTCCAACTCATAAGTATAACTCTATTCTTCTATTTCACTGTAAATTGCAGGTGATGCTCTGAAGAAGCTTGAGGAAAAGGGTGTAGTTATTCGTTTTGTTATTGGTCGGAGGTTTTGTTCTGGATCTATACCTTTGAGTTATTGCATCGTTCTTAGTTCAGAATCTAACAATATCATTGTCATTCTCGTTTTCTCTTTTATTAGAAAAATATAATCCATTCTCCATCTCTCGTTTTATTGATGATGTGTGTACCTTTTTGTACCTGCAGTGCAAATCGAGGTGATAGCTTGGACCGTAATATTGACGATGAAAATCGGCAGACAAAGGACTTCTTGATTCTTGTAAGGTCCTATTAGTATTTCATATTCTCAAGTGTCCTTCACAAGTTGTAGTACGTAAGCAAGACTTTAGAGTTTAGACCTTTCTTGCTTCCATCAAAGACTAGGTTGGACCCATGTGATCTTATACATTTCATCAATGAACTTTGAAATTGTAAGCATTTTGGATTGGGCAGGAAAGTCACGAAGAGGCTGCAGAAGAATTACCGAGCAAAGCAAAGTTTTTCTTCAGTGCCGCAGTTGAAACCTGGGATGCAGAATTCTATGTGAAAGTTGAGGATAACATTAATCTTGACTTAGGTATATTTTTTTATGTTCTCTGTGTATGCTGATTTACAGTACTTCTATTGATCTTGCCCCTTCCTTTTAAACTAACCTCTTGCAATTATTCTGTCAGCTGGGTTAATTGAGATGCTCGAAGGCCGTCGAGGTAGCCAAGGATTGTATATGGGTTGTATGAAATCAGGGGTTGTCATAAGTGAAGAGTATGTGCTCTCTTTACTTAATCATCAGGTTTTTAATTTATTGATAGCCTAGCGCGTATGGTATCTCTGACTCCAACTCCAAGCCATCTCATTCTTAAGTAGAAGTCCGTTTTTTTTGTTGATTCAGTAGGGATGCATAATCCTTCCAAAGTTGTGCCATGTAGTGGAATGCACTGAGCAAATGTTTGAGTAACCTTTTGCAGTCAGTTCTTTTGATAGTTCAATCTAGTTAGCAAATAATTCTGATGAAAAACTAATGCGTTTTGTGCTACCACTGTATGAACTTGAGAAAACATGTGCTTTGTATTGCATTTTTCATCTATGCGGCATTTCATTTTGGATTTCTTTGCCTCTTGTTAGTCAACTATCAAAGTGATTCTGTTGTCAATCTCAATTTTAGGGGCCAACAATGGTATGAACCTGACTGGTGGAAATTTGGAGATTCAAAAACGTGAGTTAATTGCCATCTTCTCATTCTCCTGAATGAATTTATTCTTTTTCCTGTTAGTAGATACCATATTCTTGCTATAAGAGCATTCAAATACTTATATTTGCACCATGTTTGGCGGTTGGCAAGTAATAAAATGCTTGCTTCCTACTAAGAGGATACCCCTGGGTAGAGATAGTATCTCCAATAGAGCTCATTCAATTTTTCACAACCATGAGTTGAGTGCAATAGGCAATTTCACCATGAGTTGATGCCTTTTTGACCTTATGAAGTCCATTCCGGTTTATTTTTAAATTTGAGAATGAAAAGCATGGTAGATTGGGTATAATGCGTGGGATAGATTGCATTCTTAGCCTCTTGGGCGATATATATAGCCATATAGGGAGTGTTTGGTGACCTGCACTATCCTGTCCCGAGCTTCCATAATGCAACCTTTGAAGTGTTTGGTAGCCTGGTTGAGGCTCACCGACGCCCCCTTAGCCAGGCTTAACAAAAATGCGGGGGGTGTCCGTTTTCTCGGAGCATGACTGGGCTTGCGCTCGCCTCACTCCCGACGCGGGTCCACACTTCCTCACCTATCACCCTTCGGTCCTCGTCGCGCACCTCTCAGTCCCCCTAGCGCTAAGCTGAGCTCCAGTAGCGACCCCTTCGGTACCTGGCTCCCCGCCACCACACCTCCCACTCTGTCGAGTCTTGTCGTGCCGAAACTCGAGGCGAACCCTTGATCCGCCACAGGACCTCCCGCTTTGCAGAGCGTCGCGCTGAGCTCCAGGAGCACACCCCGTGCCGTTGCACCCCACCGAGCACCCCAACGTCGAGCACCTCATGACGACCAACCTGCGCGGTGGCGACATAGTATACCTTTCTCACGATGGCTTCACAGGCTCATGGCGGTGTGGCGGTGGTATCTCGCATGCTTGGGCTCAAGGACTAGGGGGCACGTGGCATGGCGGCGGGGTCGCCCGACGAGCTCGTGTGGCGGAGGAGGATGCAGCTGAGCATGCCCACCAACGGTTCGACAAAATGTCTCAAGAGGGTAAACTTACCAGCTCAAAGAAGAGGTGATTCTATGCAAAACAAACCGGACAACTAAACACACCATTTGCTAGCAGGCAGAACTGGTCATTGGCTTGGTTGAAGTAGGCCTAGACTGCCCAGGCTTAGATGGCTAGCTAGGCCAAAAGCAGGCCAGGAAACCAAACACACCCATAGAGTATAAAGACTTGGGGGGCACGTTGCCTTCCCACTTTCCCAGATACATATGGCAATGTCGAATACAATGTTAAACTACTAAATATACTCAAATATCCCCTCGCATCGAGAGAGAGCATCATGAACAATCAAACTAGAGAAGAAATCGAAGACTAATCCACTCGTTGTCGTAGCAACGTCACATTGCATGGAGTGGAAACTGACGAGTAGCTCCGAACGATATCCTGTTTTGTCAACGAAGTAGCCGAGGTCAAGGTGGATGTGGTCAGAGCAGTGGAGGGAGGCGCTGGTCTGAAGCATCAACATAGGAACATGAGTACACATAATCACCAACTTCTTGTCAATGACCGCAGCAGGACAATGAGCCTAGGGAAGGGTCCACGCGGGAGGTGGCGGCTTGGCTGTATAAGGGAGATCGCATGGGTGAGGGGTGGCTGCACGGCTGTGGAAGCGGCGGCGGTGTGGGGAGAAGCTAGGCGGAGAGAGGAGGGGCGGAAGGGAACCCATGGTCCGATACCATGTAGAATAGGAAAACACGTCACACCCATTAGGGAGGGTAACTTTCATATATATAGCCAAGATACAACTTGGAGTACAAGTAAGGTACATAGACTATACATATCTCTAATAGAGCCGACCAAATGGTGAATGTAGATCGGGCTGCTCGGCCGTATCAATAAGCCCGCACACATCATCCGTTAGCGACAATAGTGGTGAACTGGTGATGTTCTAGAGGTGGCGGCAGTAAGCACGAACTCGGATCCCGAGTGAGCTTGAGGAGGACCGACAGCATGGGTGGTGCCAGCTTGGATAGGCGGCGACCATGAAGATAGTTTGACCACGAGCAGTGTCATTGTTGCCTAGGAGGGCATGCAATGACAACCTCGAGCTTGGGAGGGTCGACGATCCAACGTTGAGGAATCGGTACATAGGGAAACACAACCCCAATCTTTGATTGAAGAAAAAACAGCAGCAGCATCTGCCTGGCATGGTGAACCACGATGTGACCCAACCAGCGGTGTGGCATGGCCCAGCTGGTGGACAGCATCCTATAGGGCACAATTCCCGCTGATGTGGCGCCACGGCGCAACACAGTCGGGCGCGAGGCGGTCATGTGGTCCTACAATGCCAATGGTAGATTAGCCTGACAACACAGTGTAGGATGCTTGCTGCTGGCCTGCTGCCGCCCCATGCTGCTTGACAATGATACACAGGGCAGATCAATTAGATCAGCCCAACCTAATTACTAAGGTGCTTCCCTGGTAGAGATCGATCTCCCCAGGGGTGGCGCAATGGTGATGATAGCGGGAAGCCTGAGGGTTCAGGAAGCGAAACCTAAACCCGTGATACCATGAAAGCATAGTAGATACGACATAATGCGTGGGATATATTGTATTGAGCCTCTCGGGCAGTATATAGAGTACAGAGACTTGGGGGGCAAATTGCCTCCCAGGCCCCAGATACATATGGCAATATCAAATTACAATCCTAAACTATCAAATATACTCTAACAAGAGTGACACCAACTATTGGACCCACTACCCAGCACTTCCAGTTTCAGCACAATTTTTGCACTTGATGTTATTCAGTTATATTCTTTGGTTTTTTTCCCATTGGTTTAAGTACATACTTAACCTCTATGGGCCTTTTTCTTGGGGTGGACTCATATGTGACAGAAGTTTCTAGGTTTTTTCATTCAAGATGCAGTCTCTGTCATGCTTTTTTCATGTTGACTGACTGATTCACTTTATTCATAAAAACAGGTATTTTCGACATGCTTCTGGTTCTTTGTTTATCCTCTCAAAAAATTTGGCACGCTACATCAACATAAATAGGTAAGTGATATGTCATTTGTGTCTCCCTGTTTCATCTTAACCAATATCAAGTTAAACTGGCTTTGAGCAACACCATCCTAGTTAGCTAGATTAATAGTATGTGCAACAGTCCCTGAGCTTTTGAATCTGCAGAACATCTTATGCTGATGCAGGAGTTGGATTACATCAGACTGAATGTGACATATTTGGGCTGAATGTTTTGTTGTGGATGAAAGAACTAATCTTTTCTTTTCAACTTTAGTTTCTTATATCTAAATCCCTATCGTATGTTGCCATGATAGTTATCCAAATAATTATTACTGAATACCCGTTGCGTACGGATTATCAATGAGTGCATTGATTAGAATGCTATTTTAATTTACTTCCTAAGGAACACACATCATGTCATATTCTGTCAAGGATAAATATCACCGTTATTTTCAAGATGCAAGGACACGTTTAAGCATTCCCATGTCAAAATTTGAGCATTAGATGTTTCTATTGAGAAATATGTGCTACCAATTTTTTGTCTGGACAGAAGCTCTTCCTTTTTCTGGTGCTTTATTTCTGCCCACCAGGTCTTCTTTCTTCAGCTCAGCTTTGTCTTCTCTGTCACACAGTGCATCACTGCAGAGTTATGCACACGACGACATATCAGTAGGTTCATGGATGATGGGACTGAATGCAACTTACGTGGACGATGACCGGTTGTGCTGCAGCAGTTCCAAAGGTACAAGCTTCTCTTTAATTAAAACAATGCATCAGCTTCTGGCAGTTCCAAGGAAACTTCCTTGTTTTTTTTTGGGTGCTAATGCCATGTTTTTTAACCATCATTCCCAGAGAAAGTATGTTCTAATGCTTGAGTTGAGCGGAAGGCGTGGCTGTTGGCCTGTTGCTGCACATCCATCCTGATGAAGATTTTGTACATCTGTCATTTTGTATACATACACTGCTTTTGTGAACCGGAAAAAGGCTACTATCCAGATAGAATTGTCTTGCCCTATCATGCATAGTATTGCCTAACCAAATTTTAGGAGAACAAGTTTTTCCAACCGTGAGTATTCTTGGAACTGATGTTGATTGACGTTTCCCTCTTCGTGCCGATCCTCTTCCTTGGAGCCAAACCATGTCTACGAGTTCGCAATACATTTGTTGATGGGTTGCTTCATTTTGACATCACTCTGGTCAGCATCTGCATTATTTTGAATCAAGAAGATTAAAAGTAATAGATATCCATCAATTTTGAACAATCAAAAGAAACGAAGGCCACATAGTGGATCACCCAATCGTAACACAGTGAAAGCTCATTACAAGGACTGGCATTTAGCTCCCAAAAATATCCCGGCAAGCATCACGAAGTTATGTGCAATGGTGACGTGCCATTCGCATCACCAAATTCGATCGCAATCCGCTCAAGTCATGGAAGATCGCAATTATACCCAACAACAATGTAGCTTTACGGACTATATATAGCCCTCTTTGTATGGCTTTTGTAGACTTGTAGTGGTTTCTCTAATTAAAAGCTCTACCAAACGAGCACACACAAGAATGGCTTCTGAAGCACAAACAAACAAACAAAAAAAAAACAATGAAACCGAATCCATTTAGAGCTCTACCAAAACATGCCTTTTCTCTTACTTCTTCCTTAGGCTCCGTTCGGTTCTCCTGGAATCTAAGTCCTGGAACTAATCCTACCAGGAATGCATATGTAATTTGTATAGCTAGCTCTCCATCTAGAACTATTCCTGCCAGGAAAAAGTTCTAATCAAACGAGCCCTTATTGGAGAAGTCCAAGCCCTGTTAAAGATGGCCATAGTATGTATTGCATTTTGACACTGATGTTTTCATCTAGGTGTATGTCCCAAAAAAATTTAGAACATGATTTATGCTCGTATAATAACCAAGCAATTCCTTGGATGCTTAGCAGAGTGGATACCCACTGATCAAACACATCTATATTTCTTTCAATAATATGTGATATAACCATCAATGTCGAGACGCGTAATTGTGAAGCTTTGATATACACGCGTAGTTTTGTTGTTAGACGTGTGCATTTGCTTACAGAAACTAGGAGTAGGTTTAGGATGGTTGTATCAACTCGGTCTAATTGTCTTCAAAGTTTAATAAAATCTTTTTTTGTCTTTTTTAAAAAATCTTTCCTTACTGAAGAAAAATAATAGATAGGCTCGAAGTACCTCAATGGAAGACGAACACGATGACACCCTTTTTGGACGCATCTCTCTAGCAGCAGCTCCAAACGTCACGGGCCCCTATAAGTGACAAGAGGAGAGCTCCCTGCTATAAATTGTCCTCTGGCCACTGTGTACTGAACAGGGGAGAACTCACAAGTGTACGTACCGGCACTTAGCAGCTAGACGTTCCGGCACTCGGCAGCTAGAAAGCATGGTGCATCAGGCTCAGGGGCAGCTTGTGCAGGAGCTGGCCACCGGCGGCCTCCCCGCGCCGCCGAGCCGGTACGTGCTCAGGGAGGAGGACCGTCCAACCGGTGGCGGCGCGGCGCCGGAGCTGGAATTCCCCCCCGTGGACGTGCGCCGCCTGGCCGAGCCCGGCGACACGGACGAGGCCGCCAAACTTCAGGCGGCGCTCCAGTCCTGGGGGCTCTTCGCGGTACGTATGTATAGCACGGCCATACATACATACATACATACATACATATATATATATATATATATATATATATATATATATATATATATATATATATATATATATATATTGCTGACTCCACGTACACGCCTTTAAAGTGTACAAATGGTGACCGGCATGTGTCAGCATGAGCTGTTACTTGAAATAAATTGTCAGGTGACCGGCCATGGCATGCCGGAGGCGCTCCTGGACGACATCCGGGAAGTGGCAAGAGAGTTCTTCCACCTGCCGTCCAAGGAGAAGCTCAAGTACGCCAACCAGACGGAGGGCGGCGAGTTCCAGAACGAGGGCTACGGCACCGACCGCGTGGACACCGACGAGCAGATCCTCGACTGGTGCGACCGGCTGTACCTCCAGGTCCAGCCGGAGGACGCGCGGCAGCTGAGACTCTGGCCGGACCACCCGCCGTCGCTCGGCAACCTCCTGCACGAGTACACGCTGCGGAGCGAGCAGGTGGCCAAGCAGGTGCTCAGGGCCATGGCGCGGACCCTGGGCTTCGGGAGGACTTCTTCGTCGGCCGGCACGTCGGCGAGAAGGTGGCGACGTACGCACGGCTCACCTACTACCCGCCGTGCCCGCGCCCGGACCTCGTGCACGGGCTGAAGCCCCACACCGACAACTCCGTCATCACGACGCTCCTCCTCGACCGCGACGTCGGCGGCCTCCAGGTTCTCAAGGACGGCCGGTGGGTCGACGTGCCCGTGCTTGGCTACGACCTGCTGGTGGTCGTCGGCGACGAGATGGAGATCATGAGCAACGCGGTGTTCAGGGCGCCGACGCACCGCGTGGTGACCAGCCACAGGGAGAGGATGTCGCTGGTGCTCTTCTACCAGCCGGAGCCGCACAGGGACCTGCAGCCCGCCGAGGAGCTGGTGGACGACGCCCGCCCGGCGCTGTACAAGAAGCTCAACGTCAAGACCTTCGCCGACGGGTTCTGGGACGCCTTCGCGCTCGGCGAGCCCACCATCACTACCTCAATGGCCAGGGTAGTAGACAAGGAGGCCGCTGCGTGATCGTGAACGACGCTGATGTTTGCTCGCATGCATGTATCGAGATGCGCCCAAATAAAGCCCCAAACTGATCAACTATCTCGAATAATGTTCCTGTAGACAAGATGTCCAGTCCGCTGCCAAGGTTTGGAGATCATGTCAGTGACTCAGTGTCATGTCATGCATGGAACAACGTCGCCGTGCGTGCATTGTTGTTGACGACGAGTCGTCCTTTGCCTCTAGTACCAAAAGATGCAAATTAAACTGTTTGGAAGTGATGAAATAAAGATCACTTTGATGATTTCATCATACTAGAATCGACAGCATCAGCATGTTATAACAGAAGAAACAATCTACAATAAAACAAGTATGAACATGTGTTGGCGACTATGCTCGCTGAACGTCTGGAGATGTCATGAAGCGTTCTTGGACTTCATCTCGGACAATCGTGAGGGCACTCACAATCATTGTAGATTGTGACACAATGCAGAAACCAATACTGGTTTCTATACCCCAGGAAACTGTATCAAGAAAAACCATGTTTTACAAATGCAAGTTTTATCTCCTGGTGTCTATCTAATCATTCACAACTCCCCCATCCAGATCCTCTGCTCCCACTCTTCTTTCTCCCCTCGCTCCAGGCCTCCAACCAACACTTGCAATCCTTTCTCGGAACTGTATCAACCAACAGAAGCAATGCAATCGAAGGCAAGCAAGCAAGCAAGGCGGCCCGACAGGCCCGATGGGGCGCGCGAGCTCCGCAACGTCGGCGCGGGCCAGCCGCGCGCGAGCTCCACAGTGGCGCGAGCTCTAGACCCGAGCGCGCGCAAAGAGGACGAATGGCCAGCGAGGCTGCGATTCCATCTCTGACCGCGTGGACACCGACGAGCAGATCCTCGACTGGTGCGACCGGCTGTACCTCCAGGTCCAGCCGGAGGACGCGCGGCAGCTGAGACTCTGGCCCGAGCACCCGCCGTCGCTCGGGCGAGGCTCCTGCACGAGTACACGCTGCGGAGCGAGCAGGTGGCCACTGGCCAAGCAAGCTCGCAAGTTCTAGTCCTCACGCAGTCACATGCGGACGTACTCAGACTCCAGAGTCCAGACCAAGTTGCTTGCCTGACGTGGTGACAAATCACAATGCCGTCGTGCCTTCCCATGAAGTCGCGTCGTGTGCGTGGGTGGCCAAAGATGGAGACAAAGAAGTAAAGCAAAAGAGTTGTGATTTAAGGGTTGTTGTAATATTGTTTGTTTATGCATTGTAGTTTCTTTGTATTTTGTGAGATGAGAACTAGCTCCGTTTCTTTGGCAATCAGCATGTGGGAAAAATCGTATTGCTCGATGCACATCTGGGAACTGGCAGTATTTTTTAGATGAGATTTTAGATTTGCTTTTGCTCACTGTGACGGACTTGATTGATCTTTCTGACGGGGACGGGACCTGCAGGGATTTAATCCCCGCGTGGGGATGGGGCGAAACGCTCCCCCGACAACATTGACGGGGATGGGAAAAAATTTCACCGTGGGGACGGGGATGGGGAGCCATTCCGCGACGGGGAATTCTCCATTGCCATCTGATCTAAGTCTAATCATGTATATTATTTTTTAATTTCTCATTTTTCTTTTTTGGATATTTTTTTAGTTGCTTAGATTAGAATTTTTTTTTGGGGGCAAGGCAGGGTGGGCCGTGGTGTTCATGGGAAAAGTACCTTTTGGGGTTGTTCGAATCACCATAACATCCAAAGGACTCATTATGTGTATTTGCAGCATGTTTGGTTTGGGGAGTGGCCTCGTTCGGCAACAGCACGTCCGACATGGATTCACTCGTACTCGGATCGGATGATGACTTAGAGCCATTTGGATGAGGGAATGTATTGAACAAGCACCATTGTTGGTTCGGGGAATAGATTGGACTAGCATTTTGTTTGCCTTGAGAATTAGAACCAATTTGTAAGTTATGTAATAACGAACAAAAAAAATCCAGAGGCATCTATGCAAAGATTGCACCTACAACAAAAGAGTTTGGGCAATCATCAGTTTGTGAGTGTGTGGATGGAACTTAGCACCATAGGTGAGCACAAACTTACAGTTGGTCTACAAATGTTGGAGAAAATGAAGAAGAGAAGAATTGATAAGGATAGAAGAAAGGAGTTCGACGGGATCTTAATATATTTCTGGTGGAACATATGGAAGCAACGAAACCGAAGAACATTTCAGCACAAAGAGCTACAACCGATACCTAATCAAAGAAGACATTCATCAGTATTCCATAGCGTTTGAAAATGATCAAGATGGATAACAAGCCTGTATTTTTAGTCTTGTGTGGACAGACGTTGTTCCTCTAGTTGTGCTTTTGTTGTGTCTTTTGGGTTCTCATGTTTTGTAAATATTCTATACATCCATTTTTTTTAACTTTCTCGTACTAATATATCTCGGCAAAGCTTGTGCTGACCCTTCCAAAAAAAAGAATGAGAACCGATTCTACGAACAGGACAATAATTTCTAAAATCACTTATCAATAGTAAAGTCAATTTCCATAATCACTTGGACCATAGCCTACCAAAAAAGTTCATAACAATAAAAATTAAACAAGGGAATTGTCTTGCATATTATGGACAAGCAAACATAGGATAATCATAATTCCTAGAACTAGACACCAAGGCGAACTCTCATTTACAGTCCTAAAATAACTCCACATGCCATTAACGCAACAACTTTTGGATCCATCTTGGATAAAGTCAATAACCATTTGGACAACTAAAATTTGTTTCCAAATAAAACTTGCATCGTGCTAGTTATAAAATCATAGAATTGCATCTACATGATACTAATGATATAGTAACAAAGAGAATTGTATTTCTATGTCAATTCCAGGGAAACAACAGAAAAACAAGCGCCAATAGTGCACGTACTTGCATTTTAGTGTACTAGATCTAGGACACTAGGACCAGAGATGCCCCATTTTCTGCATTATGTTTAATTGAAATTTGACTACTTATTAATAACTAGATAACCCAATTTCAGCTGACATTAGCCTCAAAGGACATATATGATTGACGATCAACAGGATTATCCCAAAGATTACACTACTGCGTGGACTCTAATGGTTTATCAATGAAAACCATATATTCACCAAGATGTTGTATCCGTGTGCTATAATACAAAACTAGGTATCATAAAGCACATAAACTAAAATAAGGCATGTTTGCATCATATGGGCCTCAAAGAATTATATGCAAGATTGCATACAAAGATTTATCTGTCAGATTAATATAATGCAATTGACATTATGATAACATCGCTGTGTTCCTTCATCGACTTGCGATTGTTACTGACATTGAAGTTCTGCGTTACAAAGTTGTGACAGTGACATGGCCAAACATTGATTCTTAATCCAGTAGCTCGATAAGATGTGCAACATAATTTAAGAAGCTAATTAAAACTAAACTTACCATCCACATATGCTAGTCACCATATAGTACTCTAGTAAAAAAAAGACATAATTATAAGAACTAAACTGCCTACTCCCCATAAGTAATGAAATGACCATTTATATTTTGCGGCACCTGCTTGTCTTCTCTAGTACATCAACTATGACAGAAGGGCATGTTCTTTTGAGATTTGCATATCCTTGAGTGGCCATAACATCTCTTATCCTATTTGAAGAGGCCATAAACTCAATGCACATGTCTCTAAGGCTCTTGCAGTTATGCTGGTCCGCAAAGGCCAAGGTGGTTGCCACAGTGTCCACACGAAGGTTCTCGACAAGAACACTTGCACACAGCAGCTTCATCCTGTCCATGGCATATCTATCTGCAGCCACAAGTAAATGCTTGATCATCTCACTGTAATCATCGTCGTCGATGTCATCATCAAAGACAGGCAGCGCATCAGTATAGATGAAATTCAGCAGGTACTTGAAAACATCAGGCTGCATGTCTTCCACGGTCACGCACCACGCCTTGGTCTCCTTCATCTTTCCATACAGTTGTGCCTTGAACACAGGGGACCGCGTGGCGAGTATGATCTTGTGCGCTGGGAAAGTCTCTCCTTGGACACTAAAAATCACGTCTGCTTCCTCTTCGTAGAACAACAGCCTACTAAAATGCTCTGATAGGTCTGAGGGTGGCACTTGAATTTCGAAGCCCCCCTTTGTTTTGCATAGCTCAGAATCCCTGACGACCGTGAGATCACATTGAATGTTCATGCGATCGTTCTGGATGTAGCCATTCGATGGAAGCTCCAGCTTTCTTTCTCTTGCAACAAAATAATTGCGTACGACAAACATGGTCGCAGTGGATTCGGAACACATAATACTCTCTGATCGACATTTAATCTGGTTCACCAGAAACAAATCATAGAATGCCCTCACCTCAGCGCCCTCGTCCATCAGTACCAGAGCGACGGAAGCGAACATCCTGGTGCCATCGGTGACGCCGTCAGGGTAGAAGCGAATGGCCCAAGAGTGGCCACCGACGGTGAAGATGTCCGTGGGACGAATTTGCCGATGCCCATGCCTTTCATCGGTTTGTGCAGACGATCTCGAATGTGTGCGTGCCCATCTCCTCACCTTTGAGTGGTGCATCTAGACATGTCACCTTGGATTGGGTTGCCATATCATCCCCCAGACCGGGATATATAGCAAGAACTTAGCGCAACAAGTTACTTTAAAAGAAGTGCCTTTCTATGGGTGGTGGGGCGAACCTTGGAAGGAGATGTGATCGATGGCGGCGACATCGGCGACATCAATGGCAGCGGCGGCGGCGGCGGCAGCGACAATGGCGGCGAAGGGCCGCCACGGGCATTGGGGAAATTTGGGAGGGACAAGAGAGATTAGGTGATAGCCAAGAAACTTAAAGCGAAGGAAAACATTAAGTAGGTTTGGCCCGGATCTTACGTGGCCTTTGTCAATGTAGTGTATGCACAGTTGATCTGATCACTCTACAAACCTTTTTGGAATTTAGCATTTGCTTTGTAGCTTCCATTCTGGACCGCTCATTTCAGATTGGACGGTACAATCACCCACTG